AGACACTGGCCAGCTACAGATGTCAATATCAGAGCAGTCCTTCCCCTCCTCTCTTCCCCCTCCTTCTGAGTTTCTGTTTCCCCGCAAGCCCACCTCTGAAACATTCTGAAGCTTCCAAAACATTCTGAAATGTTTCAGGTGGTTTCATTTTGTTTTGGAGATGTTTCAGAGCTTTCCATTTCGTTTTGGATTTGGTGTTTTGGGCGCCAAAATGGGCTGCAACACCTCTGAAATGAAACGGCTGCCGAAATGTCACACAGTCCTAACGACTGGTACTTCTATGCCTTGGGGATCTATCATTCTCAATCCTGGTTAGGAAAGAACTAGAAATGAGACTGTATCTGATAATCCAGGTCTGGTCTGACTCTGAATTTGACGCCTTCTGTGGTGGCAAGAAGCCCCTACAGGCACCAAGGGGGCTGGGGGAAACCCCAAGAGCCCCGTGGGGAACAAACAGATCCCCCACATCCCAGGAAACTTACCTTTTGGAGCGCAGTCAGAGCTAGAACCAGAGCTGTGGCAGATACAAATTATCAGAACGTTATATTGACTTAACAAGAACACTAAAAAAAAAAACCCCACATAGTCTAAAAACTCGATCTGGAAGCAACCTCCAGGTAACTGAGTTCTACAGTGCCGTGAAACTAAATGAAAAAATAAGGATTCTACAGGCCCACAGTTGCCTGATGAGAGAGAAACACTTTCCCCTTCCCCAACTCTATGTAGGCCAACTTTGCCTACATAGAAAGCTATGTCCCAGCTAATGTTCACTGTGAGTATTATTCATAAAAATAATTAACCTGTTTAAAGTCCTCTTACACCAAATCTTGTGCTGTTGATTTCCAGGACCTAATTACATAGAGTTGGCCTCTCTTTGCCCATTCACAAGCAGAGCCGTGGCCGTGCGAGCCGGCATTACACTGGCTCTTTTAACAGCTGATCCCAAGGCAGGGGAGCACCAGGCTAATTGCGGCGGCTGGGGAAGCTGCCATGGGAAGTTTAAAAACCCTGCCGGAAGCTGGCAGGTGGGGAGGAGAGAGGGAGAAAGCCAGCAGGGAGCACGCCGGGCAGGCGGTGACTCAGGTGGCTGGCAGGAGCATTGCTGCAGGTATTGTGCCTGCGCCCCTGCACTAGGTTAGGGATGATCAATCCCCGGCTGCCTGTATTTCAGAGTCTATAAAAGCATCTCTCTCTCAGGGAGAGAGAGAGAGAGAGACAGAGACAGAAACAGAGACGTGAGAAAACAGGAGCCCAGCCCTCTGGCACCAGGGTCTGGGGCTCCACATGCCTTAACATCAAGGCAACTGACCGGTGCTGAAGCTGACACTGAACCCCTTAGTAAAGGCGCTTACAGTGAACGGTGGAACAACAAGACTAACGCCCAAGCAGTTGGCAAGTAGACGGGGTGTAGGGGAGGCAGAGCCCCAAGGAACATTGTGGTGCGAACGCGAGTACCTCCGTCACCAGGTCACCCGAGAAGAGGAACACCACTGAACCCCTCCTTTCACCCAACAACAAGTCGTGGCAGGAGAGTTGAGGGGGCACTCTGGTAAAGGGGGACGGTACAGTACTCACCATGCACACGAGAGATGCCACACCTGCTGTAACAGGATTAGGGGAGCTAAAGCACCAGTATGTGTGTTATACCTGTGTACTTCTGTATTGATCCAAGTGTAGGAAAGCTACTGACACTTCAACCTTGTTTCATTCAGGGATAAAGTTACAATGACTTGTATAACTACAGGAGCCTGCAGATATAACACTTATATTGCAATAGCTGATGTGCACTCCCATGTGGAAGCCCAGCGCCCCCATTTTAAAGCAATTTAAAAAGTACATTTGTCCATAGCCTCAGTATGAAAACCACACATTTCATTAGAGAGGTACACACCTTAAAGCATAAACAAGGCCTAATACATACCAGATGTGATCAATAAACTCATAGCTGTTTACTTCAATAGATACACTTAGGATCATAGGTACATAATAGGAGTGGAAGGGACCTCACAAGGTCATTTAGTCCAGCACCCCACTCAAAGCAGGATCTTCCCTGACTAAAACATCCGAGCCAAGTGTCTGTCCAACCTGCTTTTGAAAATTTGCTCTTGAAAATTTCCAGGGATGGAGATTTGTTGCCAGCCCTGGCCAATTTCAAGGGGCCTGGGCTAAGCTGCAAAATGTTGCTAAGCAGAAGGCCCAAAGCCTGTTTCTGAGGAACTATAGTGTGAACCTTTGCAGATGTGGCAACTAAATTGGTTAGCAAGTAAAGGAAGGCATCAAACACAATTAATAAAGCATAAGACCTGAAAGGAGATAAGGGAAGACCATACATTAAATAATCCATATATACTATATCATAGCTTTATCTTAAAATAGTAGCAGTAGTGGTTGATGTAACCAAATGTACTAGATGTTATTTTGCTATATATTTTGTTAAAATGCTTAGAGCATTTGTAAAAACCAAAACAGCCTTGTCAGAGAAAACCATAAAGTAAGGTAAAAAAGAAACAGGAACAACATTCCACAATGGGAAAGGAGAGGAGATAAGAAACCTTCCCTCTACCTGAGTATATAAATCCCAACTAACTGACACCTTCCAAGTCCACAAGAGATCTGGTTCAGTCCAATTCCAAAAGTTTCAGTTTAACAAATACATTTAAATACAGCCAATCAGAGATCATTTATTAGAAGCAGCCACCTAGAAATACTGGGCATAGGTGGGAGGGAAATTTGGGGAACTTGGCAAATTCAAGAAGACCTGCTGTGCCACCCTCCTCCTACCTCTTGGGTTAATGCACCCAGCATGCTATTGCTGGTTGTTTTTTGGTTTGTTTGGTTTTTTTGCAACAAGAACACATTTGGCTCATATTCAGATTCTGGTCCCCTGGAACCTCCAGGTCCTTCTCTGCCACACTGCAGCCTAGCTAGTCATTCTCCAGTCTGTATTTTTGCACACAATTATTCTGTCCCAAGTGCAGAACATTGTACTAGTCCTTGGTGAATTACATCTGATTGATTATAGACCATTTCTCCAGTTTATCCAGATAATTCTGGATCATAGCCCTGACCCTCCAAAGTATCTGCAACTCCACCCAATTTGGTGTTATTCAAAAGCTGCATTCAATCCTGTCATCCACATCATTAATAAAGATGTTAAACAAAACCAGACACAGGACAGAGCCCATATGGTACCTTTTCCCAACTAGAAATTGAAGATAATGATTCAAGAAGCTTCTCAATTATTCTCAAGATCTTCCCCATACACCATTTTAAGGACAAATACCATATTTACTTGAAGCTAAGATGACCATGAATTTAAGATGACCCCCCCCCGCCAACAATTAGATTCTATATATGGAAAAATTATATTTTTAAAATAATTTTTCAGCTATAAAATTTAATTATCAGAGGTTTGTCTTGAATTTGTCCCCCTCCCATGGCAACAGCAGGGAAAATAGTGGCTGGGAGTCAGGTGACCCCTGTGCCTTTGCTCCACACCAACTTCTTCCACCTGCAGCCCCTTTCCCACACCTGTTCAGGCTCTGTTCCCTGAGCACATGGAATTGAGGGGAAAATTTGGAACACAAGACACTGACAAAACACTGACTTTGAAATAAACATACCTGTAGTAATCTGCATATCGGCAAATTACTATGGGTACTTATAGACTTTGTTCATCCAGAATTAATGTTTTTTCTTGTTTTGAAAACTCCTCCATGGTTTTTACTCCACACTTTTTGAGCAGCACTTCTATACTAACCTACACATAATACAAACTATGCGTGATATTAGTCCAAAGCCAAAAGGCTCATGATTTTCCACACAGTTCACTGGGCCAAGCCCCAGGAGACTAAACAGCATTTAAAGCCATGGTGACCCCACAGCTCAACACCACTCAGCATGTGTGTACCCCACAATGAATCCATATGATAATTAGCACCTCCACTCATTACTACAACTGGGTGTTCTTGTCATGAGCCCTGGGATCCTCCAAAAATGTATATGAAGGTGAGGCATGGGGCTGCCTGGTCTCCACCTCATAGAGGATGGGGCCACACCAATCACATGCGACAGGTAGAGAGAGGAGGAAATACAGCCTCTAATTTACACAGATGTTTCATGAAGTCTGACAGACATTTAAGGATGGTAAAGAAACAAATGTTAGGAAATGGGAAAGAAAGGTGCTGTTCAGCTGTGGGAGTGAAGAGAAAGTCAAAATGTGTGTAATGTTGCAGCTCACCATGAGTTGAGAAAGAACTGGTGCTGAGGGGGACTGAACACAATGGGTTCTATATTTTATTCAGATGGACTGCACTAACCTAGGCTTGTGGTAGGTTCTCATCAGCATCTCAGCCTTTTTGACTAAAATCAAGTATAGACAAGCTTTAACAGATCATATCTAGCTGGTGTCAGTTGACAAGAGTGCTATTGACTTCACAGCAGCCAAATATCCAGCTCCTGATTTTCATTAGCATGAAGGAAAACTTTTTTTTTTTTTTTTAAATAAAAAGACAGGGAAATCAAAGAGCCTGTAAAAAATAAATTACTCTTTCACATCAGAAGAGAAGCCAGTAGTTTTGCTTCTATTCCTCCCCTGATTTCTTTGATCAGCCTTAGTAATTACCCTATGTTCAGTTAAACTCAAGAAAGCTTCAATCTATATATAGCTGGTTGGGTCAGCAAAAATGAGTACTCTGATTTAATTGCAAAAAGCTCCCCAGATAAAGCAGAAGCAAAAGCAGTAATATAAATCAACCCAACTCTGCTAAATCAAAAACAGTGATGTGCACTGGTAAAGCTGATGCACTGGTACAGTGATGACAGAAGCCTGAATGGCACAGCTGAAACCAGCTTATATTTGTCGTGCCATATAGAAAACGTTTCTTAGTAATACTTTAGCAGCTCTGAATTAGCAGAATGTCTAGTACTTAGCTGCATGGCATGCAGCGCTCTCTTGCAGTTTTGTCACATGCTGTCACTTATTTAGATGCTGTTCTTACCTCTGCAGCTAAGTAGTTCCCAGTTGCTAGATGTTTAAATCTGAACAAGCTATTCCATTGTCCTGCTCCTCCCCGGCATGGATCATGATGTACAACCTACCAGCAGAAATACAGATGGACAGTCATACCAGGAAGCTTGAGGATCATACTTAAATACCTAGGTCATTGCTAAGTCACCTCATGCATTCAGAGTAACTCTTAATTATGTTGAGATACTAATTATACTGCAGCTGATCCCGACAATAGTCAATATACATTTATGTAAACTACATGATTAGAAATATTCTGCAAGCAAGAGAAATCCTATGCATTACCACTTAACTGCCACAGATAACAGCTGTTTATATTTATATCTCACTGTGTACCAGGAAGTGTACCTCCTTCCATGTTTCATATTTTAATTCATCCGCCAATGCAAACATTACAAGCCAAATTCTGCTCAGTGGCATGAATATAAAGCAGTCCCCATGAACTGGATGGAGCGAATGCAGTTATTCTATATTTGTACAGGCATTAAGGAAGGCAAAATTTAATCCCTTTATTTCATCAGCTCTCACAAAAAATTCCAGAACTCTATATAAACTTCACCAAAGTAGGTAATGACTGACTCAACAAGCTCACTCTCATTTGAACTGAGAAGGATGTTCTTCTTCGTATGTCCTTGACTGGTCTTTCTAACTGCCTTCCAATCAGGTATTTCTGTTCTCTCAATCACAGGTCAAGTGACCACTGCCTAAGGACTGCAGTGGTGTACCTTGCATAGGCAGGCAAAAATAGGAGTTTGTAAACTGTCTGTTTTCAGTGCATAATATTTGTCCAGGATTCTGGATCCTTGGGAAAAGGAGCTTTGTGACTCAAGTAATAAAAGTTCTAATATATACCAGCAAGGTATCTGTACTCAGCGAAGTGTGTACATCTAACAAAATACATGTTCATGTAGACTCTCATGGCCAAATCTGAATCAGTCTTGTAGACACAATTCCCCAAAGTCCTTTTTAGTAAGTGTCTAAATCACTAAAAGTAATCCAAATCAAGCCTGCTCCATGGCTGCAAAATCACTGAGATATGTACACTCCTTAAGTACCTTAAGTTTTGGCTTGAAAAATCCCAAGGATTCAAGTCACATCTCTGGCTTGGATAAAATCTGCACCATTTACGCCAGATCTGTATTTGACCCTTTTCCCTTTTATTTCAGGACCAGTGCTGGCCCACAATTTTTTGGGGCCCCCTACAAGAAATAGTTTTGGGGCCCCCTGCCACAAAGAAGCTGGACAGCTTAGCTGTGGGGCCCCCTGCAGCTGCAGGTTTCACAGGATAGGATGGGCCAGACATATAAAGAAAGAAAACACCCTCTCCCCATGCCTATTCATTGCAAAAAAAGCATCTCATAAATGTTCATTCTACCCAAACTGCTTCATAAGATAATAATAGCTACTGAGAGGTATATGATGATATCAAATGACCATGAATTTTTCACGTTATGATGAAGTATTTTTACTGAACACTGGTCTTTGTATCCTAAAATATTTATAATAGACAAAAACTACCTCTATTTCCCACAGTGCTTTGGAACTTGTTGCAGAAGTGGCTGACTGACGCAATGTTGTGCGAAGAAATATATGTTGATTCTTCTCATATTCATCACAAGTCAGAAACTTCTCTTGCTCTGCATGAAACAGTCTAACAACATCTCCCTGGAAGAATATGAAAGGGAAGGGTTAGTAAATAGAAAACAGAGCAATGAGATTCTCTAGGTCAGGCTGTGAACCATGTAAAACTGGAACAACTCCACCAACACCATAAGAATCAGTGGGAATGTGGGCTGCTGGAAGTGGGTTCCATTTACTTTTTTCTCCTGTTGCTGAGGGAGACGTTTCAGTTTCACAGAAAATGAATAGGCTAGAATTTGAAAATGTATGCTGAGAGAAAATATATAAAATGGTAATAGAATTTAAAAAAACCTACTTCAAAGAATAGTGATGACAATGAAAAGACAATGAGAATACAACTGTGGTCACAACTTCATGCTGATTTTCAAATTTTAGGAGACTGTTTTAATTGAGTTTCTGTTTCACTCCTCCTCACAACTTTGGCCCTGCATTCTGCCAAGGAAACAATGCCCCAGCTATTCCTGCACAAGGCCTTGTTTGTAAAAGGCTGAGTGCTGGTGCTCCCATGCTGGAGAATCATGTTTACCAGGGACCTCACCAGCTCATGAGGTTTCCACTGCCTTTCTCATCCTTCTTGAAAACTCAGCTGCTCCAGCTATTATCACACAGGCTCTCCGCTTTCACTTTTTGGCCTCCTTTACTCTGCAGTGCTACCCACTCTTACCCCCTTCTGCCTAACTGGTTGTTCCATCAGTAATGCTCTCAGGGAGACTTTTCTCCTCTACCTTACCTCTCTCATAACTAAAGCTGAACTGACAGGTCCAATTCTCCACTGTCTTCCACACTATGTTACTTCTTACATCTCCAGGTTTTTATAATATGCTAGAGTTCTGATCCAGTTGCATTATACATGGTCGGAAAACAGGAGCAAATAATTATGCCAACTGCCAGGCAGTGGAGAATCAAGGCTCTCTCTCCATCTCTGGAATGCCAGCTTTGACCCCTTCCTTTACCTTGCTCCACACACCCAGGCCAAGTCAACTTCATCCCACTTCATCTCCCACAACCTTTTTAAGATTCCACCTCCCCTCTCTGCTCAGACCGTTCTAATTCTCATTCCCGCTTAATCATTCCCCATCTTAAAAACTGCAACATCCAGGTCTCTGACCTTTCTGCTAATTGCATGGCCTCTCATTCCCTCAAAGAAAACAGCCACCCATCATAGCCCTCGTCTCCAAATCCCCCTAATTATATCCCTCTTTTCTACTGTATCAGATACAAGCTTCATCTTTTCAAGGCATTTCACAAGATTGCCCTCAGTTGTTGCTCTTGTCTATCACTGTAGTGTACCTATCCTCCCTGCTGGGGTGCCAGGAGTAGCCACTTTCTAACAATTACAGCTTAGAAAATTGCAGGAGGGGTGGTGGTATGCATTATGAGGTAGTGACAATAATCCATTAAAATGCAGGATATCCAGTTTTTGCTTTAGAGATAGTTTCCTATTTCTTGTTGTTTGCAATATTTCACTTAGGAACAGTTAACCTGAGGATGTCATAATAGCTATGAATCTTGAAATTCAAGTTTAAAAATATGTAATTTATACTTACTCCTTTAAGTACATCATCTCGGTAGCTACTGTATTTCATGAACAAAGTTACTTTCCAGCTTGTATTGCAATTTACAGCATTTACCTGTTGTAAAAATATATGAATATAACTAAAGGTTTGGAAGCTGTTTGATCTCTTACATATTAAAGTGAGTAAAGCATTGTTAAAAGGCAGCAGTAAAATCTTTGGGGTAGAGACCATCTTTTGCTCAATTTGTGCAGTACCATGAAAGCAGGCCCCAAGCTTACTATCACATTCAACGTGATAATTTAACAGTGACAATGAAGGCTGTCCAGCAGGCAAAATGTTATGTTCTGTTAGAGTCCAGTCTTGCAAACATTTACATCTGGTTGCAATGTTTACTAAGGAAGCAGGTCTTTGGGGTCTGCTACATCAGTGAGTCCCTGGTACTCTTGATATTGATTGCTCCCAAGAATCTCCTACTCTCCTGGTCCAGTTCGCATGCATCAAACTCAGAAAGGTTCCTTGTGGGCACTCCCCAAAGCCACTCTCAAGAACAGCAGAGACCAAGGTCTTGAGAACACCTGAGGGGAGGACATTCACAAAGCAGTTTCACTGCTGGATTTGTAGGTTTGGCAGACAAAGTGGGGGAAATGAGAGGGGGGCATGCTAGGGAACATCCCGTCTTGAGAGTTCATGAACATAGTGTGCACACGTCCTCAGATACTCAAGAGCCTTCAGGAGGCACCTGGTGCCATGCAAAATTTTGCCTAGAATAAACACACTTTGGTTTTCATTTAGATTGCCAAGTGGACCATCCATTTTCTTAGTGGTAGTGTCAGCAGACCTGAGGCTGGTGTATGTTGTTGGCTTTTAGCTTATGATGGGGCAGGGAATACCACATTCTGCCATGCAGCTACACCTCTTATGTGGAACTCACCTCCTTGCAGCCTGGGTTATCCAAAAGCTCTATACTGCTGGCATGCAGAGGCTGTCCTGCATTGACTGGCATCAGTACAACTTTATCCCCCACAACAACCTGGAGGTCAGAAATAAATTACTATTTAGACATATGTAATTATCCAATGAAACGAAGTAATACTACATTTTTTAAACTTGACTCAGCATGCTCAGATCACTTGGCCAAATTATGGTACAGCTAAACTCATGGATCAAGGAACCCTTGCCAGTCAATCAGATTATGCAACTTGGCTGGTTTCAAGATTTCACACTAATACATCTCAGCAATCTCAATGAACTTGCTACTCAATTATTCAACAGTGACTTGGGGTGAAAAATAGTCCTGGGGGCCTATAAATTCCAGTTCTGTAAAAGCAATAAATCCAGATAGAAGTGGCTCTAAACTGTTCTCCACTCCCAAGTACTATGAGCCAAACAGCAAGCAAACCCTGAAAATAATCTGGAGTTTGGCACCAGGATACATCTACATCTCTTGCCCTGAATCACCATTTCCCAAAATATATATATAAATATTTGATTCCACAAGAGCAGCCAAGTTTTTCCTGCACCAAAATGTATAACTACTATGGTCTCAGATCTGGAATGAATTAAAGTAGCCTCAGGGGTACCATAAATTATATCCACTGGCTGTTTCCCTAGGGATTATTCACCATTTGAAAATCAGAGAAGTGTAAGCATACCCTTCCCTCTGCCTTGAAATTCACAAAACAAAGGGGCTGGTGTTTGGCATGGGGATCAGATATGCCAACCAAAAGATTCTCCTACCCTAGACTAGGGGAATTCCCTGATGACCAGCTACAGTCAGATTCCAGCCCCTTTGCATTGCCTAAACTGCAAATGGAAGTTAGTTCTGAAGAAATCATTAAAATAGTCTCCAACCTAAAATTGTAGTGATGTGTCTTAAGAATTCAGCTCATACCTGAGGAAGGAAATAAATCCAAGCAGAGTAACACCATTAGCTCTGCTAAAACTTTGGTGCTGGTGCTTGGATTTGGCTACAGAATTCACAGCATGTCTAAGCACACACACAGACACATGCACGTAAAAAACTACGAAGTGTCTAATAAAAACTGTGATCTAACAACTGCCAGGTGAAATGCTGCATGAGCCATGCTTCTTCAGACCACAAATGCACACAGATGATTTCTGCATTGATCAACATTTGCCATGAACACACAGCCAAACTCATCTTTTGTGGAACATCACTGGAATTAACACAGATGAATACAGCACATTTTTGAAGGGGGTGAAAAAAATAGGTTTCACATTCTTTAACAAGAGTTAAATAGACATTGGTTTTAAAAAGGTGCCATCATGCTCAGAATACATATAAAATCCAATCATATCTCAGAAAAAAAAAGAAATTAATTAAAGGAATCCAGGATAATGACAAAAAGGTGTATTTACAGTGCATTATTTATACAGTGCATT